GAGTCCCACATCAGGCTCCTTGCTCATCAGGGAGCCTGCTTCTCCCTCTGCCTCTGCCTGCCATTCTGTCTGCCTGTGCTTGCTCTCTCTCCCTCTCTCTCTGACAATAAAATCTTTAAAAAAAAAAAATAAGAATTATGTTACTAATGTTGAAACAGAGAATCGTCAAACATGTGATCACTAATTTGAAGGAATTTTTTTGGTCTGTTATGCTAAAGTTTGAACTTCTGGGATGATCTATCACTCTCCTTAAGGGAGCAGCATAATACTATGGGAAATATAGGTAGAGAAAATTCTAGAAGTCACTAGTGAGCCTGTGTTTGGGTAGATGACGGAGGATAGACTGCATTCCTAGGGGGGCTGTGGGGAAATTATATATAACTCTTCTCTGTTGAGAGGAGCCAACAGTGTTCTGTGGTATCCTAGCAGGTCTAGCTAAGGGCTTTACCATGCATACTTTAATTCATTGACCTGGCATTCTAGATGGAGTACAGACTTGCTGTGATGTCTGGAGAGAACCCTTTTAATATGGAAATATGGAGTTAGAAACCAAGGATGGATGTGAGAGATGGGAAATGATCCATTTAGAGCCCTCTCATAGCTGTGGACTTTGGGCTAACAGCAGCACTAGCATCTGGGCTGACAGGAAATACTTAGGGCTTTGTCCAGTACTCCATGGGCCCAAGGGATCTTTTCAGGAGCATGGCCTGGACACCTCAAAGCAGAACAGTGTTTTGGAGTAAGGGCTGGGGGCATTTCTGTGGCGGTAATGGTTACTCTCCCTATTTGGTGAAGTTGGCCTCTGGGAAGGTGGTTTCAAAAAAGTACCAAGGAAATGCATAGAAGGACACAGAGACTGCCTTCAGGTCCGTATCCCACCCAATCCAGAGCTGCTAAAAGACCTAACCTGTATGCCTTCTAGTCCTAATTTAAAAAAAAAAAAATTTTTTTTTTAAGTTTCAAATGAAGAAGAGTTACAAGGGCAGCACAAAATGACTTTATAGATCTCACCTCTTATGACTATTTTGTCTCTGTCACCTATTTGAGATAATTTGTTTCTTTTCAGCACTATTTGGGTATAAATTACAGAAATCATGCTTTTTAATCCCTAACTAATTTAATATTTATTTCCTAGGAACAAGGAATTCTGTAAAATACTTCAGTATGAGAATTTAATTTAGGAAATTTAACTTTGGCATAGTATCTTGTCTTTAGCCTATATTCTGTTATTTTTCCCCCAGTAATGTTCTTTGTAGGGTTTAGCTTTTCTGGTCCAGGTTTCTGCCCAGGACTGTGTTTTGCATTGAGTTTTCATGGCTCCTTCAGTCTCTTCATCTGTGGCAGTTCCTCACGAGCCTTTTGTCTTCAATGACTGTGACTTTTTTTTTTTTTTTTTTTATAGTATGAGCTTTTTATTTTGTACCTTGTCTCTCAGTTTGGATGCGTCTGATGTTTCCTTGAGATTAGATTCAGATTATGTATTTTTGGCAGGAATGCCACAAGAATAAGGTGTGTCCTCTGTGCCTCACATCAGCAGGCATGTCATGTCCGTTTTCTGGTTGCTGATGGGAACTTTGATCACTTAAGCAAAGTATCTACCAGGTTTCTCCATGGTAACGTTAGCATATTTTTCCCTTTGTAAGTAATGAGCATTTTTTGGGGAGATACTCTGAGGTGACATACATAGCCCTTTCGTCAGCACACTCTCACCTGCTGGTCTAAGCATCCATTTTCGATTTTTGCCTGAATCAGTTATTTCTGTGATAGCTGCGAAATGGTGATTTTTCCAACATTAATCGTTCCTTCTTCATTTATTAGTTGGCATCCTGCTATAAAGAAACCCATTTCCCTCATCTGTTACTATCAGTATTTGTTTTGTGCTTAAATTTGTCCCTGATTTGGTCAGGAGCCCCTCAGGTACCTTGCTGTGCCCTTTTAGCAAGTCCTGTGGTGGTGGTGGTGGTGGTGGTGGTGGTGGTGGTGGTGTTTTTTATTTTTTTTTTATTTTTTTATTTTTTAAAGATTTTATTTATTTATTTGACAGAGAGAGACACAGCGAGAGAGGGAGCACAAGCAAAGGGAGTGGGAGAGGGAGAAGCAGACTTCCCGCTGAGCAGGGAGCCCTATGTGGGACTCGATCCCAGGACGCTGGGATCATGACCCGAGCCGGAGGCAGCCGCCCAACCAACTGAGCCACCCAGGCGTCCCGGTGGTGGTGTTTTTTAAATAGCGTTTTCTTATTTTATACCAGATTGTTTCAGGTTCATCTTAAACTTATCCTCCAGAGAGTTCTAATTCTCTTTTGGGTGGGTGGTGTCAAGAAACCACAATCTCAGCACTGCGTGACTGTTCGCGAGAGGATTTTAACTTGCTGAAAGGGAAGAACTGAAAGGACTGTTCACTAGTGCTGATTTTGGACACCGCCTGCTTGGTGTGATTGGCTCTTGTCCACGCTTTCTGGACCTGGCAGTCCACAGTGTTTTAATTTCTATAGACTTCCAGTGTGTTCTGATCTCAGAGCGAGTTCCCCTTTATTATTTTTTTTTCTCTTTATTTTATTTACTTATTTATTTGACAGACAAGATCACAAGTAGGCAGAGAGGCAGGCAGAGAGAGGGGGAAGCAGACTCCCTGCTGAGCAGAGAGCCCAATGTGGTGCTCGATCCCAGGACCCTGAGATCATGACCTAAGCCGAAGGCAGATGCTTAACCCACTGAGCCACCCAGGTGCCCTTTTTTCCCTCTTTAAACACATTCTCTCCTCTAGGTGAATTTTAGGATCACCTGTAGAAAAGTCATATTCCAAAGAAGTTTCATTATTTATTTGAAAGGTATTGAACTGAATTTATTATTTAAGTTAGGGTAGAATTCATTTTTATTTTTAAATTTATTTTATTATTATAATTTTTTTACAAGTTTGAGACTTCTCACTTAAGATTAAGCAATGATTTCATTTACTCTTACAGGTGTCAGTAAGGGGTTTGTAGTTTTTATCACATGAATCTTGGGTATCTCTTGTTATAATTGTTACTGTTTTTGTTAGAATATAATTGTTGATAGTTTCGTGTTTGTGAATAGCATCTTTTTGACATTTCTTTTATTTAATGAGTTTATATATATGGACAAGTGCCTAAAACTATGAATGCATAATAATGAATTTTATTGGGCCACTACCCAGGTCAGTCATTAGGACCTCGCTGGTTACCTGGAAGCTCCCTTTATGTTTGACCTAATTACAGCCTGCTCTGTCGTTCCTTCCCTCCTAAAGCCAGCAAGTTAAGGGGCAATACAGCTGTTTACATGCCTGTCATTGTTCAATATAAGGAAGAATGACAGTTGAGCAGGGTAGACTTTTTTTTTTCCCCTGCCACAAAATTCTGAAGAGATGTTTACTGTGTGGGCTTTTGTGTAAGGGACAAAGAAGAACATAATTGCCTGTTTTTAAGACTAGCTTTATGAAACATGCAGATTTATTTTTTGTAAGTCTGTTTCTTATTGAGTCTATCCTTGAATAAAGCCGAGATAATAATATTAAGTAAAAAGTAGTCTTTCTGAAGTGTGTTTTGTTTAGATGTCAAAATAGTAGCCTACCTAACTTGATACAGAAGTTGAAAACCATTGTTAGGGTTTCTCTTAGTTTAATGAGGTTGTGGAAGTTACTCCTCCTACTCCCATAGCCTCAGCTATCTTTCAGCATTGCTGATCGTGATTAATGAATGCTTTTTCTCCCACCATCCCTTAGATTTCTATGTCAGGTTCTGTCCTTAGGGCTCTTCTCACTCTGCGCTTTGTCTCTCTGAGCCGGTTGTTTCAATGCCTACATTTATCCTCATAAAATCCACTTTTATTTACTAGACCAGGTTTTCCTGACCTGTGATTCTCTCAAATTAAAAAAGGATGATTTTTAACGGGGGTCATCTCAATTGATTTTACATCTGCCTGGTAGAGTTTTTAGGAATCAGGAATTTGGCCAAAGTCTGGCCTAGGGAAATCTTGGCAGAATAGGAAGTACAGAGGAAACGGCCTATGGAAATAAATGATTATGCTATAAATGGTAATTTATTATTAGATATATTATCATCAGTTTCAATACTTTATCTCTCTCTTTTTAATACAAATAAGGTCTTCTTTTTTTTTAAAGATTTTATTTATTTGACAGAGAGAGCACAAGCAAGCAGAGAGGCAGGCAGAGGTAGAGGGAGAGGGAGAAGCAGGCTCCCTGCTGAGCAGGGAGTGCGATGCAATGTGGGGCTCCATGCGGGGCTCGATCCCAGGATCCCGGGATCATAACCCAAGCTGAAGGCAGATGCTTAACTAACTGAGCCACCCAGGCGCCCCACAAATAAGGTCTTTATAGTTGTTTGAACCTTTTGAGAAATGATGTTAGTATTATGCTTGAAGTGTTAATTCTAAAAACTTTCATCCTTTTATCCCTGTCTTTCCATTGTTAAGTGCTAAGTTGAAAGCGCTTGCATTCTTACAGATATGAAAAGCAAAAGATGAACATAGGGGAAGGAAAGGAAAAGTAAGATAAAAACAGAGAGGGAGACAAACCGTAAGAGACTCTTAACTTTAGGGAACAAACTGAGGGTTGCTGGAGGGGAGGTGGGTGGGGGATGGGGTAACTGGGTGATGGGCATTAAGGAGGGCATTTGATGTAATGAGCACTGGGTGTGATACGCAACTGACCAGGATCACTAAATTCTACCCCTGAAACTAGTAATACACTCTATGTTTACTAACTTGAACTTAAACAACAACAAAAAAAGTTTAAAGCCTCAGGGGAAAAAAAAATAAATTGCTTTCTAATGCTAAGAAAGAAAAAAAAGGAGCATTACATTAGTGCAGGCTTTGTTATATATAACTGGTTGGGGCTCTTTTTTATTTTCAGTTCTGTAGCAATACACAAATGAATATCTTTCTGGAAAAATGTGACTGTAAAAATTCTTACAGTTTTGTTTTTTTTTAAAATACATTAAAAACTTCTGGTTTTGCTTCTAGAAAAACTGATTGCTTATCAACGAGAGTTTCTTGCCTTGAAAGAACGTCTTCGAATAGCTGAACATAGAATCTCTCAGCGCTCTTCTGAATTAAATGCCATTGTACAGCAGTTCAAGCGTGTAGGAGCAGAAGCAAATGGAAGTAAGGATCCATTAAATAAATTTTCAGGTACAAATGACATTTTTAGTTTTATAAAAATTATTATTTTCAAAGGGTTACGTGACGTAATTTATTTGAAAGTCGTGTAAAGTAGCTTATCAGCCAGCATTTATTACTGTTTTCAGAGAGAGACATTACACAAACCTTCACTATCATGGTAAATTATAAAACAGTTGTGATTAGTTACTCACTTTGATTTTAAGAGAGTAACATAATATTGATTTAGATTTCAGTTGGATCAATTTCACCGACAGTAGCAAAAAGCCAGATCTTTTAAAAACCATATTCCAAATGAGATTAAAATTTAATTTTGTGTTTTTACATGTTTATGTTGTGACCTGTATGGGCCTCAGATAGACTCTGGAGAACCTTTGAGCTATTTGAAACAATTAGTACTCTTATCTCTGACTTAGAGGAAAAAAATATGGTTTTATTACAGTGTGCACTTTTGGGGGTATCTGATCTGTTGCTTCTCTGACAACTTGTGGTTAGAGAAAGATGAGTGACAACTACCCTCTCTCTGTTTCTGTGTTTTCATTAGTCCAATAATTAAATTGACATGTGTATGTAATCAGTTGCCTCAGAATTTATGTAATCTTTCAGGATTAATATACTTTTTCATTTAGCAGCATCTTTTCCCATCCTTTATTATTCATTCCTCTTGTCTTAGATTCACTACCTGACCTTATTTTAAATTTTCATGCTCCATGTTTCTCCTCCTGATTGTGAAATGTGTGATATGGCACAATAACACTTAAAATTATAGAATGGGATAGATAATAAAAAATAAAGCACCCATAAGCCTGCTGCCAGTTGATTTCTGCTAACATTTTTTGTTTCCTTCTAGTCTTTTTTCCACTTAGGTTTTTCTTCAAAATTGTGATTGGGTATTAGAGCCTCGTTTTACCTTTTAAAATTAGGCTATTAGTATTTTACTGTGTCTTTGAATATTCTTCAAAAATGCAATTTTTATTGGCCATATGTCAGTTAACCATATACTATAATGTATTAAATATTTTTCTAATATTAGGCAAATAGGATTTTCCTATATTGTTTTTTCTCCCCAATTTCTAACTCTGCGATGAACATCTTTGTGTATAAATTGGTCACATTTCTGGTAGCCCTTATGTTATTTCTTTACATTATAATTTCCTTAAAGACAAGGATCTATGTTTTGATGGCTTGTTCATTTCTAAACACATGACACAGTGGCTGGGACAAAATAGATAATCACTAAATATTTGTTGCGTGCATAAAAGTGAAATTCCTAAAAGGGAAGTTACTGACTAGTAAAGCAGACATGTTCTAGGGTTTTTGATGCTCTTCTGAATAGCTGAAACTCCTCCAAGAAAAACAGAAGAACTACTTGAAAATTAGGATCTGTACAGGGCATTCTCAAGTTGTGCTGTTTAAATTATTGTACTTGTATTTTTTTTGAAAGAAAAAAAATCTTCCATGTGAAAATTCAGTAAAATAGAATAGCATAAGGAGAGTGAAAGTTATTGTGGTGAATGTGCTTATTACATTTTCATAAATGGGTAGCATGTTTCGAGTGTGTTCTGCAGGGCCTGAGTTCTGAACTGAACCTTTAAAACAGCAAATGATGAAAGCATTCCGTGATGAAAGCATTCTGCCTTCTCATGGTACTTAGGCTTCTTCAGAGTGGTATCAACATTGGGACTCTGTGAAACTCTGGTTGCAGAAGTGTGTTTTTTCATTTTAAATGGAGATCTTATTCACCAAAGTATAAAATCAGGAAAGAAAATTCTTTAGTTCTAGTGCTCATAAATTTTTACTGCTATATTTGTAAAATCAGTAACTTCTGTAAGTAAGGCGATCATTAATTATGCTTTTCTGTTTTAGATAATACCCTTAAGCTATTAAAGGAGTTAACAAGCAAAAAATCTCTTCAAGTGCCAAGTATTTATTATCATTTGCCTCATTTATTGCAAAATGAAAGAAGCCTTCAGCCTGCTCTGCAGATTGGTAACGGAAGAACAGGAGGTATGTTTATTTTGTTTCTTACTGTGGTTGTACTGCTGGTCTTAATTGGATCTTGGAGTATAACATTGACCATTAGAAATCTGGCAGGTCAAAGAAGAAAAATTCCTTCTCTCTGCATAATAACTTAGGATTCATTTACATTGAAAGGAGTTAGATATTTTTCACCATAGATCAGAGTATATAGCTGAAAAGGGTCATGAGAAATCTGGTTTTAGCCCCATCTCCAGGCAGAAAAATGTTTAAACCTTTTTAATTTTTCTGTTTTTAAAAATTTGAGATGACTTTTTCTTCTTGTGTTTTCTTTCTACATTAATAGTTCTCACAGTCTCATCAAGAGAGGTTTTTTTCTGTTTGCCCCTGCTTTTTCTTAAAGAGCTGGAAGGCATATAATCACTTTTGTTTAACCTTTCAGACAATAATAGAAATACTTTGGTTTGCTTTTTTTCTCATATAGTGAAAATATAGTTTATTGTTTATTTTTTTCCTCTTGTTAGAACTGCCAGAGGTTTAATTTTCCTTGTGGGCCCTACTTACTGTTATTTCATGATTTTTATTCCTCTATTTTGACTTTATTAATGTTTTCTTTGGAGGTTTTAAAATATAGATAGCAAAATATCGTTTTGCTCCCCTAATAAGTCTTTTGTCTTTTGTTAAAACCATTACCCGATAGATACTGGGGTTCATATTTGTGATAATGTTTCTGAAATGCTGATTTAATCTGCTTTTGATTCAGTGGGATTCTTGGGTATTTACTTTTTTGTGTGTGTTGCGTTTTCTCATATTATTTGATCTATTAGCATAAGCTTTTATATTTGTCTTTTTTTAGTTCTGCCATCTTTCTACTTTATGAATCATTTAAAATTGCACTCTGCCTCCTAAGGAAGTGATAATTCTTAAAATGTCATGTTCAGACTAACTCATTCTTCCATTTCCTTATTGATTAAATAAGTATTTATCCAGCAGATGCTGGATGTACGAAGACTAACAAGATGGGTGGTGTACTCTGAATTATTTTCTTTAGAACATTGATCATTAATTATTTCTGAAGTTGATATTATATCTCTCCATTTAATAATCACTATTTGGGTAGGGTGTCTTGTCATTTAGTACATTTGCTGGTTTAGATGATGTCTTCATTAATAAGAATATCAAATGAAAAGAAAGTACAAGTATTATTTTTTTTAATTTTATTTTTTCAGTGTTCCAAGATTCATTGTTTATGCACCACACCCAGTGCTCCATGCAATATGTGCCCTCCTTAGTACCTACCCACCACCAGGCTCACCTAACCCCCACCCCTCTCCCCTCTAAAACTGTCAGTTTGTTTCTCAGAGTCCACAGTCTCTCATGCTTCATCTCCCCCTCCGATTTCCCCCAACTCACTTCTCCTTTCCATATTCCAGTGTTCTCCATGTTATTCCTTATGCTCCAAAAGTAAGTGAAACCTTATGATACTTGACTCTGCTTGGCTTATCTCACTCAGCAAAATCTCCAGTCCTGTCCATGTTGACACAAAAGTTGGGTATTCACCCTTTCTGATGGAGGCATAATATTCCATTATCTATATGGACCATATCTTCTTTATCCATTCTGAAAGTATAAGTATTTTTAAAGTCATTTAAAAGTTCGCAACGTCTAATAGGTTCTCCTATGGTAGCTCCTTGTTATTTTGTAAATGTGACATTCTCTTACCCTTTTGAAGATACTTTCCATCCCATTCGTTTATGACTTTATCATAAATATAATGAAATCTTGGTCAGCTAGATTTCTGCTAGTTAGCATTGTTACCAAGCTGGCACTACTTTTGAGAGGTAGAAAAAGCAGACAACTTGAGAAAAAAAATACAAGAAAACCCTCAGATTTACATTAAAATCACTTTCTTAAATCCATCAGCAGTGGTTCTTAACATTTTTAGAGTCAAAGAACCCTTTGGCTATCCTAGGAAAACTATACACTTTCTATTTAGAAAAATGCACATAGAAAAAGTAATTCTGTATATATATGCTGGGATTTTGTGCAGCTCCAAAATCTTTTTAGGGACTTTATATTAAGAATTAAGAACTTTTCTTTTTCAAATTTTTAATGTATTTATTTGAGAGCGAGAACATGAGCAGGGGGGCTCAGAGGGAAAAGCAGACTTCTCACTGAACAGGAAGCCCCATGCAGGGCTCACTCAATCCTGGGACCCCGAGATCATGAACTGAGCCAAAGGCAGACACTTAACCAGCTGAGCACCCAGGTGCCTCTTCTGTTTTTTAGAGCAAAGAAAAACTGCTTCTTGCTAAAAATTGTTATAAAGTGGTCAGGCTGACTAAATAAGGAACAGCACTCAGACCAGTTAAGTCTTCCTAAGACTAAAGAGGGAGAATGTTCCAGGTAACTACTGTCTAAAGAGGGGCTTGAATTCTTTGTGAAGAACAAAAACCTGCCAGCCACCCCCCCAACCCACACCCTTTCTAGATCCTTCCATGAAATTTGCAGGCTGCAATAAATACATAAAGCAACTACAGATGGGTAAAGGGCGTATTGTACAACTAGGGTTACAAAATATTTAAGGAAACCCACATTGTGAATGACTTAATACTCAAGGAAATTGAATTTGCAGAGCAAGGAGAATGTAATATAGAAATTATACATATTCAGTATATTTTAGAGGGATGAGAGGCCAGTTCATAAAGGATTAGTTGGTTATCTCTGGTTCTAATTTCATCGACTTATATTTAAAATTACCATATAGATGGACTAATAAGCAGTAGATACAGCTGAAGATCAGATTAGCAATCTGAACGATTGAGCTATGTAGTTCTTCTAGAACACTACATCGAGGGCATGAAGAATTGGGGTAGATGGGGTGCCTGGGTGGCTCAGTCGATTAAGTGGCTGCCTTCAGCTCAGGTCATGATCCCAGGTTTCTGGGATCGAGCCCAACGTCGGGCTCCTTGCTCTGTGGGGAGCCTGCTTCTCTTTCTCCTCCTGCCTGCCTGCCGCTACCCCCACTTGTGCTCTCTCTCCAGTCTTTCCACTTAGCCCCATTTCCAGTACCCTAATTCAGAGCACCTAACTTCTAACTGATCTCCCCAAAACACTTTTACTCTGAATACTTTTATATCTGTTTGCCAAAAAATTTGGTAATCTTTTTAAAATTAAAAATTGGATAATGTCACTCCCCTACTTATAACTTTACAGTGACTTTTTCTTATAGTCAGTTAAAACTAAATTTAAGGTTACATTTGATCTGACCCCTAATTAATTCTCTGAATCTAGGCTCATTCTGCTTTAGATACATTCTCTTCTATTTCTTGACTGTGTTAAGATCATTGTTTCTTTGGGGCCTTACTGTTTCCTCTTCTGGAATGTTCTTCATCTGCTCTTTCTTATCATTAGTTATCAGTTCAGGTGATATAAGAGAGGCCTTCCATAACATTGGTGTCTATAGAGGTATCTGGCCCTTTCCCTTTCCCCACTTACTCTTTTTAATATTGCCACATTTTAATTTGTTAGAACCTATCACCTGCTAAGATTATATTATTTATCTTTTTCCCTCTGCTAGAATATTGATTCCGTGAGGTGAGGGACCTTACCTACGTTGTTCACTATTATCCTTATCACCTAGAATAATACCTTGGGTTCGATAGGTGTTCAGTAAATATTTGTTTGGAACAAATATAGGAAATTTCTTTTTAAAATAATTTTATTTAATTAATTTTAAAATTGAAGTATAACTAACATGCAGTGTTATATTAGTTTCAGGTGTACAATATGACTCAACAATTCTATACTCAGTGCTTGTTATAAGTATATTTTTAATCCCTTTATCTGTTTATCCATCCTCCCACCCACCTCCCATCTGGCAAACACCAGCTTATTTGCTGTACTTCAGAGTCCATTCTTTTGGTGTCTTTTTTTGTTATTTGTTTTGTTTCTTAAATTCCACATATCAGTGAAATCGTATAGTATTTATCTTTCTCTGACTTACTTCACTTTCCATTATAGCCTTTAGGTACGTCCATATCGTTGCAATGGCAAGATCTCATTCTTTTTTATGACTGAGTAGTATTCCATTGTATGTATGTACCACATCTTGATCCATTCATTTATGGATAGAAACTTAGGTTGTTTCCATATCTTGGATATTGTAAAAATGCTGCAGTAAACATAAAGGTGAATATATCTTTTTGAATTCATGTTTTCCTTTTCTTTGAGTAAATACCCAGTGGTGGAATTAATGGATAGTTCTATTTTTAGTTTTTTGAGGAACCTCCATTCTGTTTTCCACAGCGGCTGCACCGGCTTGCATTTCCACTAACTGTGCATGAAGGTCCCTTTTTCTCTACATCCTTGACAACACTTGTAATTTTTTGTCCTTTTGAATTTAGCCATCCTGACAAGTATGAAGTCATACCTCATTGTGGTTTTGATTTGCATTCCCCTGATGACGTTGCACATCTTTTTATGTCTGTTGGGCATCTGTATGCTTTCTTTGGAAAAATATCTGCTTAGGTTTTCTGCCCATTTTAAAATTAGATTATTTGTGGGTTTTTTGGTATTGAGTTGATATGAGCCACTTATTGGATATATCATTTGCAAAAATATCTTCTCCCATTCACTGGGTTATCTTTTTATTTTGTTGATTGTTTCCTTTGCTGTGCAAAAGCTTTTTATTTTTGGTATAGTCCCAGTAGTTTATTTCTGCCTTTGTTTCCCTTACGTGAGGAGATGACCCCAAAAAAATGTTGGTAAGCCTTGGACGTTGATTCAAGAGATTACTGCCTATCTTTTCTTTTAGGGGTTTTTGTGGTTCCATGACTCATACTTAGATCTTTAATCCATTTTGAGTTTATTTTTGTGTATGGTGTAAAAAAGTGGTACAGTTTTCCCAATACCATTTATTGAAGAAACTCTCTTTTTCCCATTGTATATTCTTGCCCCCTTTGTCACAGATTAATTGACCATATAAGTATAGGTGTATTTCTGGGTTTTCTGTTCTGTTCCATTGATCT